AGATGTGAAGAGATGTATTCCCTAGACTAGAAGGGGTAGTGAGGGAGGTAGGGCTGCTAGCTACCTACAGAGGAGATGGGGAATCGACGAGAAGATCAAGTCTGAGGTTCCCTGCCTCAGACTCCCTACTATATATACTAATACAATGGTGCACAGACCAGGTACCTATTGACCATCGTTTGGTCAGAGTTCTCTGCCTCATGTCCTACCCTCTGACCTGCCTCATGGTGACCTTACGACTAATACCTGAGTCGTGCCAAGTCCGGACCCCTCCCAATGAGTAAGCGCTCCTGCTATCACATCAGTCACCTGTCTGTGAGTGAGGATGGGCGCTCCTGGCCGTCACAAGGTCTGGGGTTCGATCCTGGCCCCTCCACTTTCCGATACGAGTTGTCTGCGGTCAAGGTGAGCGTCTGTTCCAGTACACATGACCCCCAGGTCACGTGGCACGAGAAAACTGTGACAGGACTCACCCTACGACGCCTCTCTTGTGAAGTGCGAGTTTTCAATGCAGATGCCACCGAGAATAAGAAGGGGTTGATCACACACCATGTCCGTTGTTTACTCCGTAACGGAGATCACCTCGCCTGGCAGTCGTTCCTCGTCACAGATATTGGGCGGCAAGACATCATCATTGGCATGGCGTTTCTACGTGAACATAACCCTGAACTCGATTGGAATGCAGGGAACATTGAGTTCACACACTGTCCCTCAACATGCACCCGGCACACAGTGCAGGACGAAGAATTACAGAGTTTGCAACTGCCCCGAGTGGAAGATGTTGCACAAGATCAGTACGGTGACCTCGGCCCTGAATCATGGGAGAGCACTGATCAGTTTATTCATTGGGTGAACTTCTCAGACGACCCGAGCGCTCGTCAGATGCGAGCCAGGCTAGAAGAGAAAAAGGACACCAACCCTGCAACAAAAGGCGAGCAGGACCGCGAATACTGGTCAAACCATGTACCAGAACAATACCGGCAGTATGGTGACGTCTTTTCCAAGAAAGCCTCGGAAAGAATGCCAACACGGAAGCCCTACGATCATGCAATCGAACTAGTCCCTGGAGCCTCACTCCCCAAGCCGGCCAAGTTGTACCCGCTCAACCTCGATGAATGGAACTCGCTTGAAGCTTGGATCACAGAGCAAGAAGACAAAGGCTACATCCGCACGTCCAAGAGTCCTACTGCCGCCCCAGTCTTCTTTGTCCGTAAAAAAGATGGGAGTCTACTTTTGGTTCAGGACTATCGCGCACTGAACGCGATCACGAAGAAGGACAAATTTCTGATCCCCCGGATCTCAGACCTTGTGGATAGGCTTTCGCACGCATTGATCTTCACCTCACTCGACCTAAGGTGGGGCTACAACAATGTTCGCATTCGCGAAGGAGACGAAGAGAAAGCCGCGTTTATCACTCACAAGGGACTGTACGAACCAACAGTTATGACCTTCGGCCTATGCAATGCACCCAGCTCGTTCCAAGCAATGATGAATGAAGTCCTAAAGGAGGAGATTGCGACCGGACATGTAGTAGTTTACATCGACGACATCCTCATCTTCACAGATGACCTCACTCTGCATCGCCAACTGGTAGAACGGGTCCTGAAAAAGCTGCGCGACAACGACCTCTTCGTCAAGCCTGAAAAATGCAAGTTTGAGCAGCCCTCGGTTCACTTCCTCGGACTTGTCGTATCAAAGGATTCAATCTCCATGGACGAGTCTAAGGTGCAAGGTGTCAAAGAATGGCCTACTCCGACCAAGGTCAAACACGTTCAAGCTTTCCTCGGACTAGCCAACTTCTATCGGCGTTTCATCAAGGACTTTGCCAAAGTTGCACGACCACTCACTAAGCTCACGTGCAAGGACATCCAGTGGCAATGGGGAGAGGAACAGGAGCAGGCCTTTGAAGGACTGAAAACCGCATTTACGACCGCTCCAATCCTTCAGATCCCGAACGACACGGCTCCCTACCGGCTAGAGACAGACTCGTCCGACTTCGCAACAGGGGCAGTCTTGGAACAACTTGGAGAAGATAATCTATGGCACCCGGTCGCCTTCTACTCCAAGTCCCTCAATGTTCACGAACGTAACTACGAGATCTACGACAAGGAGCTTTTAGCCATCATCCGAGCCTTGGAAGAATATCAACACTATCTGGAAGGACACCCCGAACCGATTGAGATCTGGTCAGATCATCTCAACCTCACCTACTTCCGACAAGCACAGAAGCTCACACGCCGACAAGCCCGATGGAGTTTATTCATGTCTCGCTTCAACTTTATTCTGAAGCATCGCCCTGGGAAGACAATGCTACGAGCCGACCCTCTGTCCAGGAGGCCAGATCATGAAGAGGGGGTAAGCAGTGATAACTTGGGACAGACACTGCTGAAACCCGAGTTTTTCGCGATCAAAGCAATGCAACCTGGTCATGCCTCCATAGTAGACGATAAAGAACTGCTCGAACGCATTAAGAAGGCCCTCGAAGATGACAAAATGACGAAACACTACAAGGAACTGCTAGCTAGTGGACCCCGGGAGTTTGGAAAGTACCTGCAAGACTGGAACATGGAAAACGGTTTACTGTTACGACGAGGCAAAGTCTACGTACCCAAGGATCAAAGCATCCGCCTCAACCTGCTCAAACTACATCACGACACATTACTTGCAGGACACCCAGGAAGGTGGAAGACCTTAGAAATCATTGCACGGAATTATTGGTGGCCCGGCATGTCAGTTGCGGTTAAGAAATACGTACAGGGGTGCGACACTTGCCAACGGAACAAGTCAGTCAGGAAACCTCCATACGGACTACTCCAACCAAACGAGATCCCCGCCGGCCCATGGGAAATCTGGTCAATCGATATCATCTCCCAACTTCCGCCCTCGGTCGATAGACACGGCAACACCTTCACTGCAATCGTAGTAGTAGTAGATCGTCTCTCCAAGCGCTCCCACTTCTTTGCAGCCGACGATCACTTCTCAGCAACAGAAGCAGCCGAACTCATCTACGAGCACATTCTGAAGCACCACGGTATTCCCCGACAGATCATCTCCAACCGAGGAACACAGTTTGCGAGTGCAGCGTTCAAGGAGTTTTGCAAGTCGCTAGGGATTCGATCGTCAATGTCCACAGCCTACCATCCACAAACGGACGGACAGACTGAACGAGTAAACCAGTCTCTTGAACAGTACCTCCGGATCTTCACGGAACATCGACCGGATGATTGGGCGTCCCTTCTATCCACCGCGGAGTTTGCGTACAACAATGCACCACACGAGTTGACTGGCCTGTCACTATTCTTCATCGAATATGGGTACAACCCAAAGATGGCTCCCGACGTTCGTGAAGAGCTCGCCTTCCCAACCCTCGAAGACGTATTTCACAACCGTGCGGAAGCAAGAGAACAAGCACAGGCGTCACTCACCATGGCCGCAGAACGAATGAAATGGTACTACGATCAGGGCCGTGTGGACCCTCCCTTCAAGGTTGGCGACAAAGTTTTGCTCAAAGGACGCGACCTCAAGATCCGCAACTCGTCAGCCAAGCTCTCAGCCAAGAACTATGGGCCCTATGAGATAACGGAGAAGATTGGACCCGTCCACTTCAGAGTCAAACTTCCGCCGCAGAACAAGGTCCGCCCCGTCTTCCATGCTTCAAAGCTCATTCCCTACCATGAAGATGAGATCGGCAACCGTAATCCAGAGAAGCCCGACCCTATCGAAGTTGAAGGCCACGACGAGTTTGAGGTCGAAAAGATCTTGGACTCGCGCGTCAACCGTGGATATGTGCAATACTTTGTCAAATGGGCTGGCTACGATGTCTCTGGAGCGACTTGGGAGCCTGTACGGAACGTCAAATACGTGAAGGAACTACTCGATGAATTCCATGCCCTCCATCCAAACGCGCCACAGCCAATTGCCCTCAACAACCCACGACCAGTCGCCCGGGAGTTTCAACGCAATATTTGGTTTGAACGCTTCGCAGGAGCTCAGATCTTGAAGAGGGGGTAGTGTCACAGTTTTCTCGTGCCACGTGACCTGGGGGTCATGTGAACCAGGACAGACGCTCACCTCGACCATGGACAACTCGTATCGGAAAGTGGAGGAGCCAGGATCGAACCCAGGGCCTTGAGGGGTCCGGGAGCGCCCATCTTCACTCACGGACAGGTGACCTGCATGCCAGCAGGGGGCGCTTACTCATGAGCAGGAGTCCGGACTTGGCATGACTCAGGTGTTAGTCATGAGGACACCATGTGACA